AGCAGGAAGATGGCAGGGCTTTGCCTCGCTGCCCTTACTGGCCCTCAGTTCGGGACTGTGGGGTGATGGGGGCGAGTAGGAGGGGGCCCTGGGTGTCCTGATCCAGAAAGACAGCCAGACGCAGTGAGTGAGAAGGCTGTGCCACAGCCCATCGGCTGCTTGGTCCCAGCTTTGTCATCTTAAAATAAAATGCCAAACTGTAGACGTGAACACAACTGTAGGGGTGTGAGCTTAGATCTATGTGTTTATGCAGGCAGAGACAACCCAGGGAACTTCTGAATTATTAAAACCACATTTCACCCCTTAAATACCAGCGTCAGAGGGTCTTGGCCTCCACTCTGTCCTCCAAGTGCTGTGTGACGCTGGGTGAGCCACTTCCCTAGGAATTATTTGTTCCTACTTCTTATCCAGTTTTTAAAAGTTGGTTTCACTCTTTTCATGTCGATTTGAGGCTCTTGTGTTTGTGGACAGTCACCTTTTGCCTACAGTACAAACTGCACAGAGGGGTTCCTGGTCTCTCATATTCTGACTTGGTTTATGGTGTCCTTTGCAGTTTTTTTTTTTTTTAACCAGGAGAAAAATGAATTAAAGTTTAACAACATGTATACCTCCTGTAAACAGGAGAGAGACCCTAGAAAACCGAGGGACCCCTGTCCTTTGCAGGTACTAATTTTTCAGAGGTCAAATGTATCAGACTTTTTGCTTCATGGCTTCCGGGATCTGTGTCTCGATGAAAAATGTTTCCTCGACTCAACACGTTAGTTTTAACATTTCTTCTAGTACGTTCGTCGCGTGTTTCTTTCTGGTTTACATTTGGATCCCTTTGAGATTGATCGATCGATTGATCGATCGATCGATTTTGTGGAAGCTTATTATTTCTCCTCTTCCTCCTCCTCCTTCTTCTTAACGGACAACATGTTTGATGGGTACCTACATTTGTCAAAAACGAGATGACTTTTTTGTGTGCCTTCAAAGGAGCCTCCAGCCCAGTAAGAACAGTTCCGGGCAGCAGTTAGTAAAGGAGCCGGGCAGGAGGCCGGAGGGGGCAGTGCAGGGCCTCCAGACCTGAGCCCGGCCACCCTGGGGGCCGGGAGGCTTTGGAACGTCCTGCTCAAGGCGCGGGGCACGGGCATTATTCAGATTTTAGCCGAGACCCATGGTTTTCACATTTCTCTCTTCTTCTTTCTCCTCATATAAAAATATTACGGCTGCAGTAAGGAGACAGGAGGAAATAAATGGAAGTCGCAGAAATCTGACAGAACTGTCAAAAGTACATTAAATCAGCAGGGTAATGTGTGTGAAATCTGAGTCACAGTTTTATTTGTTTTCTGCCGGAAAGAACTTCTCATCAATATCGACAAGACAAACAAATAGAGTGGCTCAGTTGCTAGTCAAGCTGGGGTTATGCTGTGTCGGCGAAAGGCTGGTAGTTTCATGGCCGAGTGATGGCCCCCACACCTTAGATTTTAGCCAGGCTGGGCCGGGGGGGCAAAGGTTGCCCCGGGCGGCAGTGCAACAGGACCTGCCGCAGATAGCTCCCCAGTGTTTACGAGACCAGTGGTAAACACTGCAAAGGTGACTGGAGAATGAGCCACTATTTGTAAAGTCTTAGAGCGTTACTGGGGCAGAGCAGAGGCCACAGATAGAAGCCAATCTCATCATTCGCTATTATTTTATCTGTGAGCCCCTTTGCCATCATTTCGGTCAGGTCTCAGGAGGAGGAGTTGATAAATGGTCTTTTCGCCTTAAAATAGTGCCTACACGTAATTAACGTTTGCTTTCTTCCCTGGTCTCTCAAGGCAGGATAATGACAAACAGAACTGAGAGAAATGCTCTCTCTAGAAAGATCTGTGGTTTTTTTTTTAAAGCTACCGAGAAACGATAGTATGGAGAGGATGTACATCCTCGTATACTGTGAGTGTCAATGTAAATCGGTACGATTTGTTTGCATAACAGCTCAGCTCTAGGTATGAAAGAATTTTTACATGTTGATGCCCTCTGTCCCAGTCATTCTACATCTAGAAATATCTTAAGGAAAATGATCTCGAATACAGGCAAAGTTTTATTCGAGGAGCATGATTCTTTGCACTGTTGTTTACATAAAGAATTAGAAACAACCTAAGGTCCAACAGTTGGAGGAGGGCGGCAGAGCGGACATGCGCTCAGCAGCCCATAGCAGGGATGCAGGACGGACCCCTGGCCCTCCGCGGCTGAAGGAGCT